GAATCGCAGTACGCGTACCGTACTAACATTCATGCATTTGCATGATATTAAGAAGTACATATGAATGCAATTTTCACCTCTGTCTTTATCAATCAGTGATATCGTAAGGAATTATTACAGAAACATCATTTCTGTCAAATATAAATTTTTAGCATTTACCAAAAATGTACAGGAGAGAGTACAACAAGAAGTGAAAGCAAATTTGAAAAAATACGTTTGCTGCGTACAATTTGACGTGTTACGTTTTATAAACAGAAATGGCATGGCTAGTAAAACATGAAGATAGTAACCAGGTAAAAGGTACAGTGCTTATCATCAGCTGATATAGGTGAAACGAGATTGTTCAGCTGTGGAAAGGCAATAAATCAATATTTTAATACAAAGTAAAAATAATGTAGATGGTTACCGCAACACATTTGTTGATTAATAAATCTAAGGAACTACTGTTATTATCGCGACGAAGATCGAACACACCGGTAGAAATATTAACCATGATTTTATCAATAATATACAAGAATCTTCTGCATAATACTAATAATAATAGTACAAGTCTTTATGATTCGAATCATAACAGGTTGTATTGAACTTTTATTGCACCGTTTGCTAATTCCTTCTTGGGAACGATAAATGGTGTCAGCGTATCACAACATGGCTGACAAGTGTTGAATTTGCAAGTAGTACTGTGGTTATATATCACACACAGAATAAAGAATATCAAGACAGAAACACAGCTTCAATTATTATGCTAAAGATAGGTCCGTAGATGCTGGTCCTAAAAAGTGCACTTGGTAAGAAACATCGAGATATGAACACAGACGAATAGGTGCGACTCCGACCAAAGGGGCAAAATAACTAATAATTATGGTAAAACATCTCACATTCGAGACAGATCGATGTGTCTCTTTGTAAAAAGCGCTGAGGCTGTTTTATGAGACAGGCACTCACGTGTAGAACATGCAAATTCGTTTTAAACCTTGCTATCCACTGCGCACAGGAAGAGAGCGAGGATCAGTACCGATTTTTTTATCATCAGTTCCTGATTGTAACACCTCCAATTCGTAAATGTCGATAAAGATAGGTAGGGACATAATTCAACGTATCATTGCGTTCTTTTGCAAGATGAGTGCGATTGTCGAAAATGGGTCGATCGCAGGGGAGAGAGATATCGACGATAACGAGCTGTTTGTGCACAGCGTTTTCTCCCTGTGCTTGTTGACTCTACCCGTACATCAAAATTACTGCAATTTCAAACATTCCAACTTCGCCAGCAGCTGGTAAAAAACTGGTTATTCAAAAGAACAAACATGTACAGAACGATCAGTGTTTTCAGGTTAGGGTGGTGCTTCAGATCTATGAGACAGGCTTTGTGGGTTATTTGTGCGTATTCTCATTAACCCGAATGACTGATTATCAAGAAATCTCAGATTTTCACGATTGTGAAGCAGATTGCTAAAAAAATTCTCTGATGTAAAATGCACATCAATGAGGGAAAAATATCAGAACATACAGGTTATCAACCATTTCAAATTCTGTTTATTCAACAAAGAAACATTCAAATACAATATTCTAAGGTACAGCAGGATCGGACATCAAGAGCCTAGGTCACAAAAATGTTCATTCATGTATTCACGAAATAAATCAGAACATTGGTATTGAATGAGTAAATATTCAGACAGTATGTCTCCATCAACTATTTTTAATCAGACAAAGACTTGAGTGACTCAATCATCGATCCGATTTCGTGCATCAGCGATCTCTCGTTGTCGATTGCAGGCTATCAAAACTGTGGAACGATAAACGGGTAGTGTTGATGCTACAGCACAGCAAATGTTTGGCACTGGTTGCACCAGGGTTGTAAGAGAACATTAATTCATTGAGCGTTGCTAAGTCAGAAAAATTCTTTCCACAACTTCAAGATACGATACAGCTTCTGCGCAAACTCGAAATATTTTTTCATATTTTGGTTGTGGACACGTTTATGTCAGAGTACAGTAGCACTATGGCATTTCAAGCTATTTTATTTTTATTGCTTAACACCAGACTCATTATACCAATCAGCCATATATGCAATTTCTGACACTTCTACATTGATATACCATATTAGGATTATCTCATGCAGTATGACTGGAAGGAGTGATTTAGACTGTCCTGCTCACACAAAATTAACTGCCAGGACGTGTCTTTTACACAGACTATCTACATCTGATCGCTTTGTTCAAACACCACCATCTTGTGCTGATCACAATATGCTACTTGGAAACAACATGTACAGCGACTTGATATGCACGATACATACGAATACAACAACTATCCTTTCTAATCAGCCGTTCTTTTTTTTCCGATCAATATTGGCATAATTAATTCTTTCACAGTCTTTCAATCCAGTCACAGGTCTGTGCTTACCATAATTATGATAGCTTTGGGTTCGGGTTGGTACATGTTTATCTCAACTGTAGAGGTAAAACTGTAGCTAGAGAATTCCTGAAATCTCATCATTTACCGTCCTGTGATTGTGTATCTATATTCTCTATGAACACTATCGCTGTCTGCAGTGATACATTTTATTTTTTGAGCCTGTTCACCATTATCATGCTTTGTCGTTTTGTGATCTGAAGGCCTCGAAGATTAACACAAAAATGTTGCATAGAGAAATTCGAATCATGTACTGTCGTAAATGAGAATGAATCTCGTCACTCAGCCACCAATCCTCATGTTGGTTTGCAACACTAGCACTTCCATAATTACCCCTGGACTTAGGATGTTGCTCTGCATTGTATTGTTTTCTTAGCTTTATTTAGCTCCAGCCTCATCTCTCAATATATTGGTACATCTTTTTCTTCTTTTGCTGATGACATATCAATTTGAGAGAAAACAGCAGTGCTGTAAAATTGCTACAAAATCACACAAATATTTGCATAATAAATACTAATAAAATTGATCACACTATAATACCACATTTAACATTTTTATATTGCTGTCATTTACAATTTTTCCAATTGCCTGTCAAAAAGATGCAACATTGTCATCAAAACTACTATGATTAGCGCTCATTCCCAGTCAACAACCATATGTAAATATGTTATTACGACAGAATATTTTTAATTAAATGCCGGTTTAGTAACAATTATGTCATGGCTCTACAACACGTGATACCGATTGTGAAATGGCAACAAAATATCAAGTCATGATTATTATGAGAATACTAGCACATTTTTGTAGCTATAATATTGCATAAAAATAACATAGAGAAGACGAGTACTGATTATTACAACCGGTTTGTTAAACAACTAGTAAAAAATACTTTCAAACAGTGCTTTGAATAGTTACAACGTTCGAAAGACAAATGCAGGTGACATTTTACGTAACAATAGTTGATCAACATTGATGACATTTATGTTCAATTTTTGTTCGAATTGATTTGATGATAAGAAATTTATTTGGAGTAGAAATGATGACAGGAAAAGAAATGCAGTGATACTAGCATACACAATATAACTGGTGTACATGCATTGTAATAAACATGAATATGATAATGCATTGATAATTGCATATTGTAATGTAGCTTTCAGCTTTTCGTGAGGTAGAACAACACAATCACAATATGAGTTTTCTGATCAAAAGCAAAACATGTGTTTAACAGCAATGTACTCATCACTTAACAATACTTTTATTCTTCATTATCATACTCATGCATCATTTCGAAGTTCACACAATTAACAACAGTGTGTTAACCAGGAATACTTCGTTCATGCAAACAACTAGTTTACTATTTTCTGTAATAGATTGTTGAGAAAAACAGGCCTATTTTGTGTGATCGATGCCATAAACAAGAAAAGAACACACTAAACTTATAGAGAATGTGTGCAGCATCATTGTTAATATCAAAAAAATCATAATTTAGTGCTGGCATTCTCCTCTAATCACATGACTGTTCACATGTGAGATGAACAAAAAGTACGTACCGATAAGAATGGATTAAATCACTATTTTTGCAAATTTAAAACTATAAAAGGAAAGAATTCTGTGGAACTCATGATTTTTTCTAGCAACATATTGTTGACTCGTCAATTGTTATGTACCAACACAGATAGTAAGGAAAACAGTATCAGCTCAGGATGTGTGTACCCAGACGAAGAATATATGGATAATCCGGGGTACGTGCAAGATGAGTCAGAGCAAGAATCGGATGACATGCATGCTCTCATTGCAGAATACTTCAAGATTCTAAATGACAGAATACTCCGTGAGAATGCAAAAATGGGTGTATACAAGAACTTACAAATCTTCTATCACGAGCTTCCAGAGACCGTATAATTTGTCTACGAGACTATGAGTTTTGGTTTGTATTTTTCTGTTAAGCAAGAGGACAGCACAGAGCCACCGGGAGGATTGAATGTTTCTATTGACGAGACGAGCATTGAGATGGTGAAATGTATTTTTGCAAAATACTGTATTATGTTCTTGAAACTTGTTGTTCGTAGGTTGTTGGAAGATTTATCTGATCTCAGAGATATGATACAGTAATTTGATTTCATTACCGATTTATATCTCCATAACTTGACGCATGAATATACAGATCGGATCTATGAACCGCATAGAACAGTGCAAGATTTTATAAATATTGAAAAAACTCCAAAATTACGAACACTAAAAGTGAAGCATATGTTTGTAACAGATAAGTTCTTAGAGAAAATAAGTAACACAGCACTGGAAAATCTGAGTTTTACCGAATGTACTTTTCTCATTTCAGAAGGTACTGAGAAACAGCCGAAAAAAATTAAGTTAGCATTTGGAGAATCATATAAAACAGTCTGCTTCGACATGTGCAGTATATATATTGAAGACATAAAATCACAAACCATATGTCAATCGCACTATGCAACAATTATCATTGAACTGAGTAACTGTATAAATCTACGTACTCTGACAGTAAATTCGGGTCGATATGTGAATGTTGTGCTTAGGAACAAAAAATAATCGATCCACGACAGGCATCATTGCATGGGTTAAGAAAAAAACCGCTGTTCGTGTCTTCTCGGTGTTCTAGGGTTAGATTAGAGTATTTATCAATTGAAATATTGGACGTAAGGCTCGCAGTCAAATTTTTGAAGACAATCAACAAAAAGAGACTTAAACATTTGATGTTAACTTGTTCCACTTGTGAACATTATTTTGATGCTGTTGACATTCTTGGTATAGACTTTGTTGCCCTTGAAGTTTTAGTGATTGATGCTAGCGATTGTGAATTTGAGCTGAAGAATAATCGCATCAGTATAGTAAATATGAAAATGTTAAAATTACTGAAAATTAAGTGTTGGCGTGCAAATAGAGCACTCATTCAAATGAAAAATGAACAGCAAGCGTTAAAACATCTGGAAACGGAGCTATACAATGGTATATTTGTTAGTCATAAACTTTTGTTGCAACAATGTGGTTTAGAAAATTCATTGAAGGATCTCTTCATCAGTTCTTATCTGCCTCTGCCACTTAAGGAACTGGTAACGCTGATAAATCGTTATAAGCAAGTAGATGCTTTTTTGTTGGTCAATTGCATGCACACATCAACCATTATTGTGGCTGTGAATATAACTATTGTCTTTACTTACATCAAGTTCGCTGTGCTAGTAGATAATGGCTAATTAACTGTTTGTTCTTTTTTCACATAACAAAGACAGCCAAAAGCTGATTAAACAGCTCGAAAAAATGTAAAATTTTTTTCACATCTTTGCATGGATAAGGAGTCAAAAATTGTCATAAAATTTATTCTTTCCAAGATGTTCTCAGCTATTTCTTACAAACAACATTTAAAGAACACGAGTACAGAGCTAAAATTGATTCATTAACGCACATTGAAAGATCTAAAATAAGTGAGAAACAATAATACGAGATGTCAAGGGAAAAACATATTATTTAATGAGTGACCAATCTTTCTTCCGTTCATAAACCTAAATAGCGCAGCTAGTTTATGATACTAACATTCTCTAAACGTGTTTCTTGTAAGCTGTCACTCATAAAACATTCACAAAATTTTTTGCATACTTATGTTATATCAACCCTGGCACATACCTCAAGAGCTACTACCATCCCTGCAACTGTCACATCATCTATATGGCAAGTTTCTTTTCTGACTTTGTCTCAACACAAAACAAACCTACCAAAATCACAGTTGGCTAAATTGATAAGTATGGCGGTGCGCAAGACGGTGTTAATCATATGTTTATACGATATGCTCTATTTATACGTGTAAGCATACCAATAAAACTACACTTTAGATATCAATAAGTGTTGTTGAATGGAAGATAAGATTTTATACTCCCATATTTAGACTGTTTTCTTACTCTGCATAATTCTGGTGGTGAATGAAAATTGTAGAGGAGAATACTATTGTACATAACATGCGGTGGAGCATGTAAACATTGAAATAAATTCATTTTATTGCTGTTCTGTTTTTATTGTTGCTGATTGACTTGTCTTAGACCGTTGTTTTTCGTTCTCATTTTTTATACTTTTTCTAAAATTTAGGGAATGTGAAACGCATTTGACAGTCGTTTCTGATGGATGCACGACAGTAACATTGTTTACTCACATACCAGACACGACAATCAAATAACATCTAGGTATGGCGTAACGTGTAAACATTCTCTGTGAACGCACTCCATATAAACATGTGGAGAGCAACCAAGCAATAGACAATACTTCCGTTTGCAACGTTTCAACAGAAACATCAGAACTTATATGGACCGTGATAGTATCGCCATGTCTCATGTAGGGCAATCGATACACGTGGAACGCAAGGAATTATTCCATAATTTCCTAGTTAAATTTATTGAACGTATTTCCACACATGGATGCATAGCGTTGTGTGGTTCCGGTTCGTTTTGACTGTTGGTACGAATTTGTTCGACCTTGGCAGAACGGATTGACAATAGATGCGCGTTCATAAAAATATTCTATGTTTACGTGAAACAGATTGGGTACATTGCTAATTTTGTGAAGAATGAAAATGCCGCTCTAGCGGTCTTTCCGTGTGGCATCTTTTCATCTTGTGATGCAGTACGATGCCATATGCTAGCAATTTCTCGCCAATTTACACTAAACGGCAATAAAAATCTTTTCATCGTGTCTCTATAGCTAACAGTGGTATTTTCTTTCCTTTTCTTTTGACACATTTTCCAAGTACGATAGGTGAACGATCGACATGACAGACATCGTATCTGCGATGTTATTGGGTGAATAAAATAGCTATGTAATCATACATCAACTCTGTGACACGTAATTAATATGACATGTCTACAACTCAGCGGCCCTATGGCTCCCATTTCTTAGAATAGTTATTGTGTATAAGAGCTACATCATCAATTCATTTTCTCATGCACATAGGATATAGATGCAAAGTACCGCTGCAAGTAAACTAGAAATGCAGTTGAACAATTTTTAGTTTTTGTCACAGATCAAAAGACTCGTCAAGTACAGATAATTATTGATTTGATACCATTTTTAAAATACGAATTATGACATTTCCATAAAGGTTCATATACCATTTTATACAGAAATAATGATGACATGAACGTATAAATAAAGAATTTTGTCGACACATAACCATGTTTTCATGTCTTGTTATGTTTTTGTACTGTTCAGCTGAAGAGGTGTACTTAGGATTTACCGACACCGAAAAGAGCTTAACTGATATTCTCAAGTTTCCTTCGTCGTGCGAGGGTAGGTTCAGTGATTTTTACGATACAATCAAGGATGTTGATGAGAAGACGTTAGAAATAATTCGTGACTATAAGATAGAAAAGATCACGAGAAAAGAGGCTGAAGAGCGTTTTCTAAAGGTCAATGGACCATGTGATCAGCAGGAGCACAAGGATGGTCATGTGGCAACGAAGAAGAAAAAGGATGAGTCAGGAGAGGAGAGCGAGGACGTATTTATGATTACATTGTTTGTTCAAAAATCGTTGTATCTAAAGGTGGTCAGCATCTCCATATTTAATGAATTGCCACCGTTTACTACTACCGAGATGCACCATATGGTGAAATATTTATATTTTTTTCTCGACAACAAACGACAGATGCAATATGCAGTGCTATTTTGTATCGGAAACAACGCCATGTCGTATGAAGAGCTACTGGAAATGGATGATAAGGAAGAAAGTCCTAGCGCGAAGGGTTTATCGTCGCTTCATATGCTTTTGCTCGAAGCAAGAGATAATTTCATGTACATCTACAGGGATGGGCATGGTTGTACAGCACAATCGTTGCCTTCCGCAAATCATGGCGAGTTTGATAGCAGGATTCCCCTTGTAATCGATCGTGATCACCCATGCTTGGGAGCATGCGTCGAGGGCATTTTCTTAGACATCGATTTTCTGCTTAAGAACAGGAAGGACATTACGCAACAATATTCTACTTGGAGGAGAGCGTAAACAGGCTTACCTTGGAACTGGACATAAATGGGCTGACAAGTGAGTACCTTGAAAAGTATAAGGATAAGTTTGAAGAAATAATGATGGAAGGTATCTGTAACACATTTTTCGGAAGAGGCAAGTACAGAAAGGTGATTTTTAAATCTAGAAAATCTATGGAATGCCGTTGATTACACGATGATTCCAGCTGATTCTTATGTCATCAGACTTGCAAACATTTATATAAATTTATTTCTGCAAAAATTACCGACAAATGTCAGCGAGCTGTGTGTTTCAAAATCAGCGATTGATTGTCTAGCAGTTGGGGGTGATATTGAGACGATATCACTTAGTAAAGTGAAAATAGAATCTAGGATATACTTTATGGAACAGAATAATGTCAAGCATGTTATCTTGGATGAAGTTGAAGGATTCCTGGATTTGCAAAATGCATCGCAGCTCGAATCGGTACAACTACTTGGAAGGAACAGATATCTACGATTAGGCGGTATAAATAAGTGTAGGAATATAAAGTGTTTGAAACTGAGTTGGAATCTTGACGAAAATGTTTTGGGTCGGATAAAATTAGCAGAATTTGAAAACTTGGAGGTGTTTTCTATTGCAAATTCGGTTGAACGTCGGATTAAATCCGAAGTGACCATGCCCAATTACTTTATGAGACAGCCATCTGGCTTGTTTCCAGACTTTGAACAGGCTTATGGCGGTACTTTGGTAAAGTACGATGACTATGTGCTGAGAAACAAATGGTACACAATACTGAGCACTATGTCGTGCCAGGTGACTATGAAGGATCTAAATATCTCATACGCAAATTTCTATAACCAACCACGTTATGAGATCTTAGCACAATTCTCTAATCTTGAGGCACTAACAGTTCAATTTACAAAAATCGACAAACTGTTTTTTAGCAAACTACCGCTGTCACTGACATATCTTGATATTTCTTTCACATCATATGCGATTTATGGCCTTCGTATGAAGTATTTGCTTAAATTGGATACGTTGATCATGTATTTGCCGTCTAATTCTGGCACTGAACAAGAGAAGAAATACTATTTTGACGTGTTCCAATATATTGACAGAAATAGATTGACATACTTGGATATCGGCAACGCAGATTTTAATTATCTTGCTGGTTATAACATATTTCATAACCTTAAAACTTTGATAATACGCGACTCGGTGTTATGTACTTCTTTTTTTGATAAGTTTGTGTCGCACATTGAGGTTCTATGGTGTGATAAATACGTTAAGCTTGAACAAAGTGATATTCTGTCAATTGCCAAGCTGAAGCATTTAACAACGTTCATCACTGATTTTGAAAGTAAAGAGAACGAACAGCAAATCGGAAATTTGGTAAAGCAACCCGGTTATTTTACAAGGTTGATTCGTATAGGAAGAGATGCCAAAACCATGTTGCGCTACATGCCAAAATATCAAGACCACGGTCATTTACCGTTCACGCCAACGGCGATGAACTCGTTTTGAAGGATGCCAGCAGAACTATAAACAGTGTATCGTCCGCAATACAAATTTATATAACTCGCTCTAATCTCCTCATATAAGGAATAATAAAAACACGATGAATCTTCTCACTGACAACACTGCAAGCAGTCTCACATATTTTCTAACCGTATACATACAGCCCAGCACTACCTACCATTAAATATCGATACCCCCTTTTTAGCCACAAATCACATCTTTTCATGATCATTCTGTCCGTATAACTCATCCAATATTAAATTTTCATTTGTGCATGTTTCTATGCGTTCATTAAAGTACTTCTCCAATCCTTGCACCTTTTCAATCACGCCCTTGTCGTGTTTGTTTTCAAGCTTATTTTTTATTGTTTCGAGTGTGTAGTGCACATATAGAGATGTTGCTTCATATATAAGCGCTTCCTCTAGGTTTGCAGGCCTTTTCCTGTTTGCAAGCTCGGTTTTTAACCTGTCCAGCAGTTCGTAAATTTCTTCGTTCATCTACGGAGGAGGGCGTGAAAATGAACAAATATTTGCAAACATGCCAAATTGTATTTTACTGTGGTTTCAGGTCAAATACATCGAATTTTTTATTTTTTTAGGACAAAAGTGAAGTATTATCCCATATCATGGATGTGCGCCCATGTATCATTGGTTGAATTTGGCATTGATCCAGCATGCTACCCCGCGTATATCTTACCAGCAAGAATTTATGTTGTGAATAATTTGTACAAATTTAATACTTGTTGTGCACTCTGTCACATGCAGCCATTACGTTTTTTTATGTAAACGCAATTAAAAATTGTTCATAACGACAGATTCGCTTGATAAAAAGTGTTTAAAACTTTTCTTGCACCCGTTCGTCTATAAAGGGATGAGAGGATGTGAAAGAGTGTACCTTCATTATTGTATGACTTGTACTAAAGCTTGTATTAAATGAACCCTGGTACCTGGTGAGTTGATAAAGCGTGGTATTGTCCTTATCTTTGACATTATACCAATTTTATATTGATTAAAACAAAACCGCAGTCTTCTTTTTATACCATGTATTATTTTTCAAAACATATGGTGGTAATTATACATGCATAATTACAAAAATTAAGTCATCTTGGTACAACAATTGTCATTACAACCCTATTTCTCTCGCTCATTGGTCAGGACATCCTCACACAGTTTTTACCCTGAAATATGGCACCATCAAAATGATAAAAGTAAGAGCCCGTCACCAAAGCACGAATCACAATGCATTTTGTATGTTAATGTACGAATTGGTGCTTATTTGCTTGTGTTAACACCCTCGCTAAAACACTGTAAGAATTGTTTTGACTGTCAATGCGGGTTCCTCATTTGAGATGCGATATTCTTTGCTATTTCATATTAATACTTGTATTTTACTATTTTACAACTATGCATCACATAATTGTAAAATATTTTATACAATCGTTCTATATCACTATTTTTTATGCAACGCAAAACCACAAAGCTTTTAATTTAACACAGTGCTTGATCAGATAAATCAAACAAAGCTGCAATTTGACTCCCTTCGCATGCTAGTATAACATAAAATATTCTGTGTACGCATCATTCACTGTCTTCATCTCTGCACGCAGACATTAAGTATCACAGCTCCCATATCATAACGCACGCCTACATATTCTGCTGTATATGCCAATTTTTCTCTTTCTGCACATTAACATCACATGTTCTTCCTTCACATCAATCCGTGTGTTTTGTCTGTATTAAATCGATTTGTTCATTTTTTTATTTTTTGTCACTTTTCTAGAATCTCTAAAAATATAAATAAAAAAAATTTATGCGCCCTCATGTCTTCGCAAAATACAAGCAAAGAAACAAGCAAAGCAATTGGTATCGATCTTGGTACGACGTACAGCTGTGTGTGTGCGTACAGGAACGGTGAACTAGAGGTAATATCAAACGAGGAGGGAGCAAGGATCACTCCATCTATTGTGGCATTTGATGATGAAGGAAATATTGTCATAGGAACTGCCGCCGAGCACAGGCTTACTTCCAACCCGGACAAGGTTGTGTACGATGTGAAGAGGCTGATTGGGCGAGGATATGACTCGCCGGTTTTGGAATCGAGTATCAAGAAGTGGCCATTCCGTGTAGTGCGCTGGGACAACGATAGAAACAGCACAACTGATAGGCCGGCAAAGAGTGATGCTGTGGACAACATTAGAATAGAAATAATGAAGGGTGGCAAGGTTATGCATTACGATCCTATGGAAATATCGGGGTATGTGCTCGGTTTCTTGAAAAGGGCTGCCGAGGCGGTACTCAATTCAGGTGTGACCACCGCGGTCATCACGGTACCTGCGCATTTCAATGACAATCAGAAGGAGAAGACGAAGATGGCAGCTGAGATTGCAGGGTTCAAGAATGTGCGTCTGCTCAACGAGCCTACTGCTGCAGCGCTTTCATATGCGTATGACAAGATGAGAAGGAAGGAGGCCAATAAAGAAGAAACCGTGTTAGTATTTGATTTAGGTGGTGGTACGTTCGATGTGAGCATTCTCAAATTTGAACCGCCGTCTGAGAGCGGAGCGATTGCCGAGGTGCTCAACACCGAGGGTGACACGTTCCTTGGAGGTGTTGACTTCGATAACGTGCTGTTTGAGCACTGCCTGGCATTGTTCTTGAAGCAGAATCCAAGCGTTAAGAAGGAGGAGATCAAGGACAGAGCGAAGAGGAGATTGAGGATGGCATGCGAAAAGGCGAAGAGGAACCTGTCAGCAATGAATTCCACAACGATTGAGATTGAGTGTCTGCACAGCGATCTGGGACTTTGCACTTCCATCACACGTGCACTCTTCAACAGTCTGTGTATGAAGTATTTCAGACGGTGCATGGACCGCGTGAAGGGGTGTCTGCTCGGTCTGGCGAAGGTCAAGCCTGATTACACTTCTGAGGGCTTCTTGACAGCTGCGTCTGCTGCCAATACCTCAGCGATTAATGATGCAATTGCGCAGGTTGATCGTGTGATTGTGGTTGGCGGTAGCAGCAGAATCGTGAAGATCAGAGAAATGCTTGCAGAAATATTTGGTGAGCACAAACTTGATTTTAGCGTTCATCCAGATGAGGCAATTGCACGTGGTGCGGCGTACCAGGCTGCACTCATATCGGGTGGTACATCTCTTGATGTAGAGTGCCCGCTACTTCTGTTGGACACGGTTCCGCTTAACATCTCGATTGAGACTCTTGGTGGAGTTGCGACCAACATTATCAAGAAGAATACGGTGATACCAACTGCCAAGACTGAGGTGTTCAGTACGGCTTCGGATAATCAGACAAGCGTGACAATCAATATTTACGAAGGACTTGGCGAGATGGTCGAGCACAACAACCTTATTGGCAGTTTCAATCTGTGTGGTATCACGCCTGCACGGCGCGGTATGCCACAGATTGAAGTAACGTGTGATGTGGACAACAACGGAATATTGGTGGTTACCGCACGTGAAAAGGGCAGTAACAAGAGTGAGAAGCTGACGGTGAGCAATTCGAATAGGAAGACCACACCTGAGCAGCTTGAAGAGATGCACAAGAAGCACAAAGAGTTTGAGGAGGCGGATCGCAAGAAGAAAGAGAATGTAAGTGCCAAGATTGAGTATGAGGCTATGTTGTACCAACTGAATGAGAAGGTGGCAGAGGTGCCTGATCAGAACGTGAAGAGCAGTCTTGAGACATCGTTGAAGCAGCATCAAGAGTGGCTTGATGCGCATCCTAATGCTGACAAGGACGAGTATGTGACCAAGAAGGATGAATTGATGGGTCTTTTGCAGCAGGTTGCCGGTAGTGCACAAGGTGCTGCTCCTGGTGGTTTTGATGCCAGCAATTTTGGTGGTGCGCCACCACATAGTACGACTGAGCCTAAGGTTGATGAGGTTGATTAAAGTACTTTTAGTTATTAAGGGCATGTTTTGCTTGAATTATCGGTTGATATGAGCCATTTGGTAGTGTTTTATTTTTTGGTGTGCCGAGCCGGTGTTTGGGCAGGATTGTTTGTTTTGGTATTTTACGCCTTGGTGTGTAGGGCTGCGATAAATAAGTTTTGGGCCTAGTTTGCTATGATGTATGTGCCAGGGCTGTGATTGCTCAGTGTGAGCCAAATGCTGCGGTCATCTCGTATTTAACATGGAGGATGCCGGAGAGGCATTGCAAAGTCACTTCGGTGTGCCAGACACTGATAGGGAGAGTAAGTCTGGTATGCTTCGGCATCGCACACTGACCTGCTCATCCACATGCTATCAACGATATTTTGCAACGATGTACTTTTGCCCCTGGGATGTCGTGCAAGTCATGGCTTGCATGTTAAGCTCACTGTTACGATTGCAGCATACCTTTCTGCTGTGGTAGAAGTGATGCGAAAGTGTTGTGCGAGCAAACGCATTAATTTACTCAAGGACCTGAGCCCAGTTCCAGTAAATCTGATAGGCATGTTGAATGACATGGCATGAGAAGATAAGTAAACTACTTCTAGCAAACAAGTCCTGATTATCATTTACTTTATCTAAAATCTCGCTGCCGCCGCCATAGCTGCGCTTCTTGCTGCGGCCCGATCCGCCACTGCTTCTTCAGCCGGTGTAAGAGCCAATCCTGCTCCTAAAAAAGGATAACCTACGCCAGTAACATTGCCCAAACCCATATCATCACCCAGTAACGCACCATAAGCGCCTAGCAATAGTGTAAAGAATGTTATTATCGCTTGAAACATGATTAGTACACGGAAATGATACGTATTTATATTTTACATGGGAAAAGTTCTGATGAATGATCGGTTTCCGAATGTTAAACTGCAAAGATAGCTAAAGCTTTGCGTTTTGCACTATGAAACACGTATCATACCGTTGTATTAACTTTGTAAAACACAAACGTATTACATTACCTTATGTTGTGCCACAGGCACACCATACTCTCATAACCGTTTCATCAGTGATGCGGTAGGATCAAGAACAAAACCTCATTAAACATAATCGCATCGTGCAAGCAAACACCAATCCATCCACTTTTTAGCGTGTGCATCACCTACAGCGCCCTAGTAGTAGAATATTTCAATATTGCCGCGTCTTGGCGGCCAAAACGCACATAACAAGAGTACGGGGGCTTCAATCCTTTTTGAGAGAATAAATTGCTTGTTTGCTGGTCAATCCTCAGCTGATGATCGTATATTCGCAGTATGAAGTGATAATTGAACAAATTTTGGAAACATCCTTGAACAGCATGTTTTCATCTACATGACTCTTAGGCAGGGATGTGCGACTGGTACTTTGTTTACCGTAAATCGCTTTTGCCGTGCCCTGCTGTTGTTATTATCAGACATTGTACGTGCTGCAGAATTACTTGTAATAACGTAAATCGGTGCTCATTCTTTTGTAAAGGCCATGAAAGAGGAATTTTCTTCTTTTAAATTGCACATTTATCTTTTTTTTCGTTCTTTTTCGTAAATGATTGATGTTAGTGAGAGAATACAAAGGCTGCATTATTCCCATCAAAGATGGCGGTCAATCGTGTACAAGTTAAGCATTTTTAGAATGCTAGTCTAATTTATACAAAAATAAATTATTTACTCTTTATTTTCTTCTATCTTCCCATTTCGCTCTCTCAAAGGACAGGAATAAAAAATAATGTGACAGTGATACAGGATCAGATCAATTACCGGATTATCAGCATCATTTCTGGTTCTTCCTCAGAACGTGCACCGTGTTACATTTGTGATTATGATACGTTACTGTCACGTCTAAGATTCAAGCCTGGCCAAAAAACACTTCAATGCTCGGTACCTTTGCATCTCAGCATCTAATATTCGTGTTAACCGTGCCACATACTTACCGGTCGTGGAAGTCATTTTCTTGGAAATGATTTTGTGGCGCGATATGGCATTTATGTGTCTGAGTATGCATGTTTAGTACGGGTGATGGACCGAATACAAAACGAATTGTAGTGAATCTTGGTGTGCAATGTTCAAACTTTGAGGTGTTAGTACCGGTGTTACGTGCAGAATCACTTGATAGATAATTTTACGGCCTTGGGCACAGTTCAAATTTTGTGTGGTGTTACGGTTTGACATTCTGTCAATGATTGGGATACTTTGTTTTCATCTTTCCTGAAACAGGCAGTAAATCGATTCGGGTGTATTTTTTGATGCGAGGTTTCCTCACAAAACAGGTAATGAATCTGTGCGGGTGTGTTTTTCGATAATCGGTACTTTACAGGTCTGTGCACCGTATCGATGCTAATTTGTCATTGTAGGACGTTGTAGCAGGCGAATTGTTTATTCGTTACCGAAGTATGGAGTATTTCGAGTGGTTGCAGACCAAAGCTACGGACCAATGCACACATAACAAGCAGCTAATCACCAACATAAAAACGGTTTTTTAATTCATCGTGGGTCGTACGGTCGTTACATTTTAAAACCGCACCGGTCACATCGTCAAAAAAAAATATAAAAGAAAAAACCGACCAGGCCTATTAATGACACACAAAAAGATAAGTTCACAGGTAATACGCGATGAATCGAGTGATACGTCAGAAAAAGATGTGATGAGCGTGTCACAACGCGTACGTGACGATGATTCAAGTACGGAGTCAGCGGTGAGCATATCGCTGAATAGCGAGGAACAAAACCGTAAAGAGCCGGAGAAAGACATTGAAGTACGCCGCATACCGCCTGAAAAGGACTTGCGATCGTGTCGGCTGGTGGCAAACGCGAACAGGCCGCACGAGTCGCCGCCCATAATATGTGCAGATGTGCAGCGCAATTCGATGTGGGAGGCTGTTTACGTGCCTGTTGACTGTGAAGAAGCGAACAATGCAAAAAAGTCACCACCAATTCTGCAGAAGAAGCCGAAGAGGATCGGCACTACGGTACTTGAAAAGATTAGTGTTGTGCCGCAGATCGTGCCGGCAAAGGACACAATCTGCAACATATGTTTCGAGAAGATTACTGGCAAGATCTACAATCTCAAATGCAAGCATGTTTTCCATATGGATTGCATTTTTAGGTGGATCTATACGTGCAATTTGTGCCCGCTGTGCAAGTGTCCCATCCTTCTGGGCATTTATAACGGACGTAAATAAAAGCATTTGTTTAGAAATTGCTCTTTGGGTGAGATGCGTTTGTAACGGCTCGATACGTTGTATAGCACAGCGGTGAAACGTTGTAGGATACGTTAACATGATACGGTCTCTTAGGCACGCTTTAGTTGTTTTACTGTGCGTGTTACACGCTCTACATGGCACCTTGTTGCCGAACAGGAAGGGTACGGACTCTTTCTGCCTGCATAGCGCGATAGATAACCAGCTCAAATTACCAATACTGAGTAAAACACTCAGGCATTTCATAAAAGAAAGAAAATTGGGCAAGAATGGCTGTAAACGTTGAGATACGCCATGAAAACAGTTTTATTGGTGATAGAGAAAAATATTATATCGTATATGTGATGTAGAGAATACTACAGTGATAAACATTAGAATCAAGTTTTTGATATTCCTGCGATCAGTACAAGTAATGCAATATCATGATCTGTTTCATATACCACAAGGAATAAAGAACTGCAACCTGGTATTGTACAGCACCGTACATGTTGTAGAAGATCAATTATATGCTACCAATGGTTTGTGCGTCCAGTTCTTGGTGATTGTTGCACTAGCAAATCCTAAACATGATAATTTACTGCGGTGTAAGCTTCATTTATTCAGCACAGCTCGGTTTATTCACAGTTCTATCATATCAAGTACTTAGAGAATGCCGTGCTCTCGCAAAAATCGTTACAATACGGCAAGGACCGATTAGTACAAACATTTATTTCCAGTACTAAACATATTTGCCAAAAATAAGGTGCTAATAATTGAAACAGCACCGTAAAACAGTGCTATTGCGTCTCTTTATTCCGAAAAGCGGTAAAACGTCTTTTACCACAAATAGAATGTAAGACGAATCAATCGAAGACCGATTTGGAATAGGTTGGTCTTCTAACACAGCACACTAAGTTTGTTCACATTTTGAACTGATGCTCGGTTAAAAATTGTTTTAGACAGTTCCTTAGAGTTACGCCAAAAAATCTCGTTATTAAATATAACGGTGCTCATGTATCCGAATGAAGGGAGTTTAACTTGAAACTGGATGAGAAATATCGAAGAATGCCCGTTTATATTGCGAATTAGCATTTACCACATTTATATCCGTAAGCCTGTAAAAAGACAGTAATAAAAGAAATTAAGAATAATATATCGTTCAGATGGTCCATTTAGTGTGGCTAAAATGAGCGTATAGCCTTGCTCACCAAGATATTTAGGATATATTGCTTTACTAGCGCATTAGCAGCTATCTTTTCTGATACTTTACGCATATACTGAGTTTTGCATAGTATCTTGTACACTCACCGTGTCGTATTCGGTCATGAATCTGAAATAAATTCATTTAAAACGTCATTTTCGGTGGTGTTTATCATCACGATTAGTATTTTAGTTCAAAATGCCGCACATCAAACATAAATTATGGCAAAATGCGGTAAAGACCAAGTAATCCACCGTTATTAAAATGTTTTTCGCAACAAAAATGTGATCAATCCATATGTAATAGAGCGCCCGTGTACGTCACGATTTATAGTTCTGAATAGCGATCGGTAGTGCTATTACGGTAAAAAACAGCTCGTAGTTCAATAAAAAGAGTGAAAATGAGTGTTTGTGCGTAGGTATTGGTGTTGGGAATAGATCTTAAGAAGTATTATTTGTATCGTTTGAATGTCACTGCGCTACGCACCAAATATGAGATGATACAGATGTCATACAAAGACGTAGTCATGCTTGAACTTGAATTGATGAGCAATTGATCGAACATGGAGTGTTTTGCTGGGTTTAGCCTTGTTTTCCATGTTTTATTTTCGATAAATTATTTTTTGTTTGTTGTCGTTCGAGGAGTGATACGGTGAGCAGTGCAATTGCGTTGATACGTTGCTCTGAGCAAGAGCATAGCAATGAGCAGCGTTTGTAATAAAACACAGTTTCTTCCATAATAAGTAAAATGAGTCACAATTACGTTTCTAATTGTGTTTAATTGTTACGGTCTGCACCATAATGAGATGAGAAACGTGATTGTACAGCTGATTTAATGAAATAAACGCTCAATACGGTTCATTTTCTCTATTCTTCATCAGATCATGATCGCATATTGGTTCGATTGGTGAGCATTTAAATTGCATATTGGCTCGTGAGCGGGAAGTGACCAACAGAAGATGCCCGCCTGTTATCTCCATCGCTTCTTTTACCACAAATACGGTGACACTCCTTGATCTGTTTGATAACCAATTTGATTGATTTAAAAGTATTTAAAAAGCTGGGCTTGCCCCTAAATGGAGAAGCGTAGCATCGATGTGGATCAATCCGCTTTGTTCGAGACATCTGGCTCGGAGTACACCGTGGGAACGGTCAACACACACTTCATACCTATGAACAAACACAACTTGGACAAGTACAAGCAGCTGATCACGCCGTTAGGTGGCGAAACGGTTATTGTGTGTGATATTGACAACACGCTGTACCACCCGTCTGCCGGTGTGGAGGAGCTCATAGATGGAAAACTGGTTGATTATTTGGCGACTGTTACGGCGAGCAGGGAGGTTGCGTTGGCACACAAAAACAGATATGACGAGGAGTACGGCCTTACGGTGTACGGTGCACTCGCAGAATTGGATGTTGAGCTTGATTTTTACAATAAGTACATTTCAAGCACTATAAAATACACAGACTATCTCCAACGCGATCTGGTGCTGAAGAGCATGCTTGACCGTCTCAATTGCAGGAAGATATGCCTTACGAACGGTGATGTATCACAGGCAAGGGGCATACTTGCAGCACTCGGGCTCACGGAGTGCTTCGAAGCTGTTGTCACGGTTGATTCGGCTGTTCCGTTCTTCATACACAAACCTACGGAGGAGAGTTATCAGTTTGTGGACGAGCTGTTCGGGATCGAAAATCCGAAGAGTGTGCTGTTCTTTGACGATAACATCAAGAACATTGAACAGGCCCTTGTACATGGATGGTCTGCACATCACGTGCAGGGCGACAGCCACATAAGCGATATTATAGGCAAAGCGGTTGAGATGCTGTACGTCCAGACGGAGGATCTTCTGCAGGATAAGGACAAGGTTGGAGTCAAAGAGAATTAAATAAAATTGAGTGGCGATACGATAAATGATATAAAAATTTTATTCACATATCTAGCGTGTTGTATAAATTTGAGGGGTCTACGCTTCTTCTATACCACTGGTCCCCTCGGCCAATCATGTATCCTATATTGCATACCATGCACCATACGGCAATTTGCTTCATGCATATTTCATAATAACCACGTATTTTTTTCGTACTAAACCACGTACCATCACTTTTTAACATTTAACACATTCCACCTCATCCCACAGTCAAAACGGGCTGGTATAGTCGCCCAACACATTCATCATGTCCACTATAGGCCTACCGACCCGTTTTCATGGCAACTGCCGCACTTCTGTGCCAAGAGCAGTGTAAAAAATACTTGCGCGCTTGTATACTCCACCGTATATGCAGGCCTACTCTCTCCTGCTCTATTTAGCGCCATCGTAATCGTCAACCATGTTTGCATCTCATTTACCAACGGATATGTTGAAAGACATCCGGAACGATGCAAATTTATGTTGCTGTGCTTGTTTGATCACCATCAAGGTGTCTGATAAAAATAATGGACTATTTTAAGCCGTAACAAGGCTTTTTGTCCGATAATCGCTGAAATCAGCGGTCCCACCCACCCCTACCTAAAATTGATAAAATATTTGAACTAAGCACTGCACTGCCAGTTTGTTATGCAATGATGATTGGCAGAACGAATATTTGTATTGCTCATTGGTATGTTGAGATTTTTCTGTAGCAATACTAATATAAGCTGTTAAGTATGTTTGTGGTTAGTTTGGCGTATTTTTTGCGCTTAAATATCTTGAACTGCTGCATTGGGCCCTTGAGGAGAAAGAAAGCCTTTTTTGCCAAGTAAATTACGCATTCCATGCACTTTTTCATGAAAATTTCATGTTCTTCTTTTTGATATAAGTCGGCTGATTTGGTATCATTCGTGTTGAAGGGGTACTGCCCGAGCGCACAAAGCTTTTTAATGTTCATTTGATGTATTTGGGGCGAATGGCAAATTTTTCGCTCAATTCCTGTCAAACCATCCCGTTCAATTCTCTACTCCATAAATATTTTGACAGAAAAAAAGTGCAAATCCATTAATCACGTCGTTCTAAAATGCTATGCTCATTGATAACTCTGTATTTCTGTTCATTCTCCCCATCATAAACTAAGTAGACTGTTCAAGATGTGCTTGTTGCTTATTTTTCACAAACTCACCGATCATTTTCCCTATCTACACATCTCAAATCTATTAATTTAACATCCTCCCTATATCCTCAAAATTCGTCTATAAACAAGTTTTTAAAATGTCCTGTAAAGCGTGTCTCTATTTACAACACTACAAATGGTGATATCTTGCCAATGAACAACGCTAAGACCCGTTCCTCTTCATTGTTATCGTTTTCTAATCTTACTGAGGTATAAACCAGAACAATGATCTGTGCTCCACCATACCATAAATCTACTGTTTTATAAGTTGTTTGCGCTGTTTATCTCTTCAATATCGCAATCAGAGCCTACGTGTTTCTTCGGGTATACTTCAGGCTCTTTGCACAGCTCGCTGTGTCAAAAAAGTACTTTCTTCCTTCAACTCAGATCTAAGGAGCATTTCAGAGAGCAATCATAGGAAACACGCTTCTCAATCTAAACAATAAATGAACTGTTTTAAACAGTAACGATGATGGTACGTAGCGGGTATTTTTGGTGTAAATCACGTATTGATTTGGAACATACCATCCATTCACGCTTTTCCATTTTTATCGCAAGTAAGTAAGGATTCTACCAAAAAGCGTAGTATTCCTTTGGTATCACTTCATTTTCATTGCATTATATTCTCTTCATCCCCATAAAGTACTTACGCTTGTCCTTCTCCAATTCCTTTGCTATGTACTCAACATATTCCGACTGGTAATAATTGCAATACGTGCCACTAAAAAACAGGAAGCAATACCTCAAATTCTTCTCTTTCCTCGTTATACAACAAATTAAATACATGAACCGTTTCCTCTGCTTGTTCATGAGCAGTGCCTCCTTCCTACAGTAGAAATCGTTTTTTATATACTTTTCAGGTGATACAAACTGAGTAACAAAAAGTGTGGCCATAGGCATGCTGCAAGCACAAAACAAGGATGTCTGAAAGAGATATTCTCTTGTGTACTGTGTGGCAACGGGCGTAAGCTGCTTTCTTAATGAAAAGTCGTGAAACAGCGATTCATAGTTGTTTCGGTCGTGATCGAAACGGAAACAAATGCGTAAAATATTGTTGAGATACTCAAGCACGCCTCTCATATACGTTATTTCGTGTGTGTTCGGGCGTAAGAACACGGCAGATACAAACTCTTTGATCACGTGGTCCAGGGCCTTGTAGAAATCGAGCAGCTTGTCCACTATTTTTTCGGTAGTACTGGTGCGCTTCATGTTTTCGCGCTCGTTCTTGTCAGGATCGTACAGTATGTTGTACATTTTCAATTTCTTGTGGACTTTTGCATACGTGGTTGCCAGCCTGTTGCACATGTCGATTACGCCCTGATCCGGCTTGTACCCTCGTTTTTTGAACTTGAATTTGAACGCGAATTTGCGTAAGGTCTGGTAATCATTTGCCATCGTTAGTGCTTCGTCGTGTTGTATTGTTAAATCGAGCGTTTAGAACCTGCGGGATCAATCAGCTGTTAACACACGTTTTTTTATTGGTGCGTATCATCTATGAGGATGAAATAGTTTTTTCTAATTGATTATGGTTTACGGCTCGGATACGGCGTTTTTTACGATGCGTAGTGAGGACGTGTTAATGGCGAATTAGTTGGCGTGGTGTATCTGAACAAAGACACGAATTGGTTGTGGCATAACTCATGAGGTGATCGTTAAAGGAAATTTCTCACGAAAAATTAAAATCTAATACCTGAAAAAAGATTACTTCGTTGCAGAACAAGGATGGGAAGTAATCACGATATAATCCAGGAGGCGATAAATAAACGACTTTTGACGAAATACTGCATCCTTTCAAAACCATACAGTTCCTTGTTCTTACCAAATCCATAATTGATCAAATAAGTTTATTCAACAACTTCCACATTTCATGAGTGCACAGCTAAAATAGTAAACATGTAAACGAACGCATTGCACGTTCACCGCGATAACACCGTAAATACTCCTTTATCAATTCTAAGTCACATTTACTTATTATCTCAGTAATTCTTCACTCCACCACACCACAATATCTTAATAACGATAGCTCTCATACACAATAATTTACATTTTCTTATCAACGGCAATGAATTCCTTCCGTAAAATGGTAAACACCCCGTTAATCTACCAATCATGTCTAAGCGAACACATTATTTTTAGTACCTGAAGAACGATTCTCCTTGCTCATTTATTGCTTGTTATTTAGATCAGATGTAGTGCATGGTAAACAAGCCATAGCACATTTTTTCGTAAACACGTATTTAATCACTGATACTGCACATTTCACTACAGGAGTGTATAGAACGTACAAATAATCAAACATTAAATACCGTAATTGCTTCTTGGTACTATAATTTTTATAGCGCACTACGTACGCTAAGTGGTGTATACGGCGCTGCAGCAATTCCTAGATCTATTGAATATATTCTAATTTACAGCGTATTAAAGTGTTTTACACCATTTTTATTAGCCGTACTTATTTTGTAATTATACTCTTTTTAATTTTAATTTGTCTTCAAGATGATTTATTGGTGCGGATGAAATGATCAAAATAACGGATTGTAATTTAAAAGAATAATTTATTTTTACACAAAATTATTCATAAATTTTGTACTTTTACGTCTTCTTACGAGCCCGTCCACTCAACACGTATTTTGTAATACGAGCCTGTTCATCATTTAGATCTTCTTCTCCTCACAAAAACACTTCAGCACCAAGCCTTTTTCTCCTTATAAAACCATCTAACACGTCAAAAGTGTAAATCATACGCTTAATTGACAAATCCTGGGCCAGTGTTTATCACCGGTTTGCGTGTTGATAAATTAAAATGTCAGGCTGTAATGAAGCACACGAGGAGTATAACCGATTTACGATGCACCAGCCAATCAGCAGGTAATGATGACCGTGCACCAAGCATGTTGCAAAACCTGACACAACCGTTTTGCAACACGTTCCTCGTGAGGTGCAGGCAGAGCAACGGCAAACCAGCATTAATACGTTTCAGCACAACTTGACAGACACGCACGTGAACAGCTGTCAAATACCGATTCATGGAATGACCTATCACACACATTTCGCGTTTTATCGTATCACGGCCAAAAGGGCCAAAAACGGTTCTTGAAACGTTTTTACTTCGCAATTCACGTCTAACCCTTAAATTTCAGAAATTGAGCACTGCTATGAATTTCAAATGGAACACAACATTACCAAAAAAACAGCACAAAAACAAATCTCCCGATTTTGAGGTGGACGGCAGGATATGGCGCATAGTACTGGCGAACTACGATGGTGTGTACGTGTCGCTGGAGTACAGGGGCACATCAATCATACCTGCGCACACGATCACACACTTTACCATTAATGGCGAGAGTTTTGAGCTGAGCTACGAGTACAACCGTTTCGACAATTACTTCGGGAAGTACCTTTTTAGGAACGATGTGGACGTGAATAACAATATGGTGTCTGCGGACAAGACGGGCGAGAAGACTGGCATGTCAACGCACACGGCTATATCGATGCACACTGCAGAGTCATCTGCCATGTTTCAGTCTGCTCATCAGATCGATGATAATATCGAGATTGAGGTGCGTATCAGGCTGATAGGTGATTATAACAGCAAGGGGAGCACGGGGTATGTGGGTATAAGAAATATGGGAGCGACCTGCTACATCAATTCGTTGGTTCAGGTGCTTTACAATATAAATGCATTTTATAACAGGGTAATGAGCATTAGAACGACCGTTGAGCACGATGACGGTATGGCAGGTGAATTGGGCATGGATGGAGGGCTGAGCAACAACGGAATGAAAGAGGGGCTGAGCAACAACGGAATGAAAGAGGGGCTGAGCAACAACGGAATGAAAGAGGGGCTGAGCAACAACGGAATGAAAGAGGGGCTGAGTAACAACGGACTAAGTGAAAATAGCTCGGGAAAGGACAAGCGGAAAATGGAAAAGAAAACAAATAAATACAACTTAAAGGCTCTACAGCAGATGTTCTACAAGCTGCTCACCTACAAGAGCGAGGTGTACCCCGATCTCATGTTCAGGAACCTTTCTCTGCTCGGTCCTCTCGACCAGCACCAGGATTTCCACGAATACTCAAAGAAACTGCTCGACGAGCTCGAATACGAAACGGACGAGAAGTGCTTTAACAGCCTGTTTGACGGCGAAATAACGCAGTACATCCACGCGAAGTGCGGATGTAGGAAGGAGAGCGTTGAGAAGTTTTATGATCTGCAACTGGACGTAAGGCAGAACATAAAGGAGGCGATGGATGCGTATTTTGAAGAGTACGAGCTGTGCGGTGATAATAAGTACCGGTGCGATACGCATGGACTGGTAGACGCAGTGAAGGGACAGGTGATCAGGAAAGTGCCTGACGTTCTGTTCGTACTGATCAAGCGCTTTTCCATGGACTGGGATGCTAACGAGGTGGTGAAGAACAACGGGTACTGCGAGTTCCGGGATGAGCTGGAGATCAATGGTGAGCGGTTGATGCTCAAGGGCGTGGTTGTGCACAGCGGGGTGAGCAGTGATGGCCACTACTACTGCTATGTGCGGTGTGCGCAGGATGATGCCGGGCAGCGCGTATGGCTGAAGTTTAACGATCATATCGTCACCAAGGTGACCGAGAATGAGGTGCTCGAGCACAACAGGGGCGGCAAGCACCCGTATCGTAAGGTTGAACTCCCGTTCAGTGCGTACGGCCTTTTCTATCTGAAAGATGACAGCGTGGAGAAGATGCCGCTTACAGATGAAATTGTGTCAGAGATAAGGGCGAACGAGGCGCGCTCGTACAACTGCAACATCCTGACAAAGGACAACATCAAGGGGCACACCGGGCCAGGCTTCTACAACATTACGTGCGATTACCCGCGTACCCAGCTCTACACCATGAACAGCGTAAATTTTAAGGAAATGAACGTGGAGAAGAAGTACCACTACGTGTTCGAGGTTAGGGACGGCGAGCTGTGCACGAAGGTGAGGTGGAGCGATAACGTGCTCATCTTCAGTTTCTTTACGAACGTAAAGTACGATTTTGTGAATGAGCACCGACTGGTGTTCGTTAAGAAGCTGGATGATGTGGAGAGCGTGGAGTATGACTACAGCAACGCGTTGCGGCTGATTGATATAATCGTAATTGGAAAGGATGAGAAGGTGAGCGATGCGATCGTGCGGTACATGGGGAATGAGAGCCTTGAGGTGTACATCGAGGATGATTTTGGTGCTAAACGCACGCATGCAGGCACAAGGAACGGAACGATTGCCATCGTGTGCACGAGCACGGAGAGAGCGATCGAGCATCTGAGGTACCTTGCAGACAGGCGGTGCATCAATTTTGTGAACCGCAGCAGGTCTTTCACGCTGTTCCTCAAGCGGACGTGCAACTACGCGCAGGTGACCGACATCGTGAAAGAATACCTGATGGATCAGAAGGTAGCGATCGCATACTTCAAGGAGAGCGTGAATGACCTGAGAACCAACCAAGTACCGTTCTACACGGAGGATGGGCGTAGGTTGGTGTACTTTGGCAGGGGATGCCTTGATTACAACCGGATACGCCATATTCACGTGCTCTCCGTGGATGAGTCAATCACCGTGAGCAAATTCAAACACAAGTACAAGCCGGGGTGTGTGTCCGATCTTACGGCGTACTACGTTGTTGAGTGCGTGGTGAACACGCCGATAATACGCGTGCTGAACGACGATGATGTTATGGGCACCACAGGCGGGCTGCTCGTGTTCGAGTGTACACGCTCAAAGTTCTTTAGAGCGTGCCATGCCGTGTACGCCGACTCGAAGTACCAGGTAACAGGGTTTCCGTTCCTGTTTTTCTATGAGAATGAACAAACGTTTGGCGATGTGCGTATCAGGTGCGGGTTCCTTGGCAAGCTCGTGCTCTTTGATGGGGAGTGCTACAAGGAGTTAGACAATGCTGATCGGGTTGAGCTGCAGGATAACGAGATTGTGTTTATTATGCGGGGGTGAGTGTCAGTAAATATGATGTTTTATTTTTGCTTGCGTTATTTCGTACGCTACAGGCACAGCTATTTTCGTTAGAAGTGCTAATTGCTGTTCAATTCAAATGTTTCATCGCACTTCGTACGCTCGATCAAATAAACGTGGAACCAAAGATTGAACGATCTACGACTGCTAAGGGAACGTATTCAAGGATGAAGGAGTGGTTGGTGAATCTTTAATGGTACCGGTTCTGCCATGGCGTAGGGTACACCGTTTTAGTGGTCTTGAGCTAAAAAACGTAAAAGTACGGGAGATGTACGGTGCTCTACCATTTTATAGAGCTATGCACAGCACCTCGTCATTTTACGGACCTGCCCTGCACAGCACCTCGTCATTTTACGGGACCTACCCTGCACAGCACCTCGTCATTTTAGGGACCTACCCTGCACAGAACCTCGTCATTTTACCGACCTGCCCTGCACAGCACCTCGTCATTTTACGGACCTGCTTTGCACAGCACAACCAACGTAATAAACACCTGCAACTCATCACTCTGAAACACCTCGTCTCATGTGCACCAATACGCGGCCGTATTCCGTGACAGATCACAAACGAATCAGAGATGCTATTCCATAACAAAAACGAATCAGGAATGCTCTTTTATTCTACACAAGGACTTCCGCACCAAAATAATTTAAAATGAAAGACAAGATGATGGATGTTGAACACGAATGCAACAAGTACATAGAGGAGCGCACCGAGTACAAAATATACAAGCACATATCGGAGCAGCTCGATCTCACGAACTTCGTTCCAAGAAACTACTACGAACTAAGGAACTACTGCTACTACGGCTATTCAAATTCGCTGCTGCGCCCAAAATTTTGGAAACTCTTCTTGGGCTACCTGCCCAAGAACAAGTTCAAGACGGAGTTTCACCTGAGGGAGCGCAGGAAGTTGTACCACTTCTACCACGAGAAAGCACACACCGTTTTGATGGACAATCCGGGAATCGACGATGCTATCAATAAGGACGTGGACAGAGTGTGCATCCTGCCTGTCACGGTGGGAATAGAGGACAGCAATATCCAGCAGAAGTGCACTTTTCTCGACTCAAGCTCGGATAAACTGCACAGAAATGCGCTCAAGCGCATTCTTCTCACGTTCAAGGTGACCAACTCGAGCGTAGGATACACGCAAGGCATGCACATGGTGCTTATTCCCATATATTACGTGTTCTCAACGAGCTCGGATATCGATGATGTGAAGTACGCGGAGGAGGACGCATTCTTCTGCTTCTTTAATCTGATGAGTGAGGTTGGCGAGCACTTTGTCAAGGAGTACGACTACGATTGCACGCTGGGCATACGTAAGAAGATGAACAGTGTGCTCGAATTGGTGAAGAAGTATGATATTGAGCTGTACAATGCGATGGAGCGCAAGAAAATAAGTGAGACGATGTTTCATCTGAGATGGGTGTCGCTTCTGCTGTGCTCCGAGTTTGACATCAACCAGGTGCTCGTGCTCTGGGACAAGCTGTTCTCCGATAGTTACCGATTCGAGATGGTGATCTACTGCTGCGCCGCTATCATCATTCTGATGAAGAAGGCGATTATGGAATCAGAGTTTGATGAGTGCATGAGCGTGCTGCAGGCGACCAAGAAGGATGACGTGCTCACCGTGTTTGCGCTTGCTGACAAGATGAGGAGGGAGCACTTCTCGAGCGGTGAGTAGTTTAATAAAGCGTGTAAATTACGATTAAATTCCATTTTACGTTCTTTAGCGGTGAGTAGTTTAATAAAGCGTGTAAATTACGATTAAATTCCATTTTACGTTCTTTAGCGGTGAGTAGTTTAATAAAGCGTGTAAATTACAATTAAGTTTCATTTTACGTTCTTTAGCGATAAAATTGCACCACTTTGGTTTAATTGTGTACCTTGCAGCAGGTTCTTCATACATCCGTGTATTTGTCATGCGCTGTGGTTCCTCTGGTATGAACTGCAGTTTTGTTCGTATCTCCTATCATTTTTTGAATGCTCTGCTATTGATATGTGTGTTATACCTTGACTTGATGTATTTGCTATATCCTGCACCGGACCAATAAACATTGCTCGGTACATCATTTGAGAACACTGCTCAAAATGTTGTTCAACACATCACACAGCACCACGCGTATAAACAACGAATCATCAGCATGACGTGCTGTAACATTGTTTTAAACACGTACACCTAATAAATTACGTGTTCGTCCTCAATCAAAACAAATGAAACAACTTCGGAAGAGACTGGAGGCGCTTTCCGAAATATTCGAATCAGAGAAATCGTACGTGCAGGACCTTAAAATATGGGGCGAGGACTTCAAAAGGTATCTTTTCCAGTCCGAGACACTCACAGTAGAGAAGAAGCACTCGCTCAGCAAAACATTGTTCATCAACCTGGATGCAATCATAGCACTGCACGAGCAGATAATAAGGGAACTGGGCCGCAGGAACGAGTACATCAGGGAGATGAACGGAATATCGACCGGTGATGTATGTAAACCTATCGTGGTGACCGATGAGAGCGCACAGATGTTCAAGGACCTGGAGTACCACTCGGTGTACTACAAGTATCTGAACAGGTTTGGGGTGTACCGGTACTACGTGAGCAGACTGCCCACGGTTGAGTTTGATCTGGACAAGGAGTGCAATATGAACCGTTTTTTTAAGCAAGAGCTGATGGAATTCTTCAACAAGCGCAATATTGAGCTGGGACCGAAGCACTTTATTTATAGAGCGAGTCAGAAGCTGGCACGGTATGCCATTCTGTGGAATGCGGTGCTGCACTACGAGGAGAACCCTTCCTTTATCGAGGGAATTAATACAACGGTACAAAAGCTCAAGGAAATTGCGAAGGATGTGGACCAAACGTACGGCTCGATAAACGAGAGCTACAAGATATTCCGGTTCAGCGCTGACCTGCACTACGCTGAGTCCGTGAAGAACCGCATTCCGCTCAATTTGTTCCAAAAGCAGCGAAAGATTCTGAAGGAAGGGGACGTAATCATCAAGTACAGACACATCAGAGAGCCGAAAATGCTCCGATTTATTGTGCTCGATACCGTCATTCTGATCTGTGACGTGGTGAAGCAGGGCAATGTAGAGATAAAGTACATCATAACAGATCCGCTGCCACTGTTCAAGTACATCGTGACGGAGCGAAACATCGGCTATACCTTTGATAATGAGTACTTGGAGAGCATGAATCCGTTGTTTTTGCTTGAGCGTGCCGGGACGGACATCGTTGTGATCTTCTTCAAGGATGAAAGGATCAAAAGGATGTATTTCGATGTGATACATGCTGCAATGGAGGAGGTAAGGAAGTACTTTAAGCCTGGCGTGAATCTTTGTCCGCTGCTTGAGAAGACCAACTATGAGATACTGTGCTGTTCGACACGCGATCTTAAGTTTAGTATTGGAAATGAGGAGGACAAGCGCTCGTCGCATGGTACGGTTAGTATTGGTGATTTATCGATTGATGATAACAAGGATAGCTACATAGACGGGTCTGCGCCTCCTGAGGTGATGAGTGGGACGGATAAGGAAGGAATGGGAAGTAAGGAGGGGGTAGGAAGTAAAATGGATAGGGTTCAAGGCAAGGCAGACGGTGAGAGGAGTAAGGAAGAAATGGGAAGTAAAACGGATAGGGTCCAAGGCAGTACGGGTGATAAAACAGATGGAATAGGAAATGATAAAACGGATGGAAAAGAGAGAAATGATGGAGAGCGTAGCAAAGAATTGAAAAATGAAGGAATGGGTAGAAATAGCATATTATCCGATGCACTTTCAGTGAAAAAAAACGAAAATAGATCAAAGGGAGTTGAAGAGGAGACGAAAAATGGATGTAAACGGTGTGTAAGTCCGGTAAGTGAGAAGAACGAAGAGGATGAAGACCGCATAGAAAGGGATGAAGACCGCAAAGAAAGGGATGAAGACCGTAGCGATCATAGTGATGAGAATAGCGGCGGTCGTGATGAACTAAATGCTACAGTCAGTAAAAATAGTAAAACCGTCAACTCCACGGGTAAAACTGAGGATGGAGCTGCAAATAGTGGCACAGGAGTGAGTGATGAGAAGTCGCTGTCTAGAAGGCAAGAAAAATCGCATTCTGTGACAGAAGAGCACAATATGTCGCAAAGAAAGCTGCGATTCGCAACACAGTTGAATTCGAATGAGAGTACGGAAAGTACGAGCAGCAGCTCCGCGTCTATAGAGCAGGGCCAGCGCAGGGTTTCATTCTTCAAACGAATGTTGGGGCATAAGCAACCAGAGGAAATAAACGATCACACGTTCAGTATAGACAGGGGAGACTACCGCAGAATATTCCATGCGGATGAGCAGTTCCTGCTGTTCGGTACGAAGGAGGGGCTGTTCAAAAAGATAGGTCCACACTTCGTAAGTCTGCACGACAAGGGCGTGCACAAGGTGGTGTACGATGTGGCAAACAAAATAATTGTATTCTTGGAATCAAGCAAAATATGCTGTGCTCCGTTTGTGCCCAGCCAGGACACGTTGCATACCAAGCTCATAACGCGTAGCGCAGACGATTTCTTCTACGGTATAACGCTGAACAAGCTTACCATAGCATCACTTACCGTGAGCAACAACTCAACTACCTCCGTATCGCTGTTTAAGGTAACGATCGAGAACCGCTCCGTGTCCGTTGTGATGGACCGCAAGTTGTTCGTAGGATGCCTCGTGTTCGATATCGCGTTCTTCAACACCAAGTTGGTGATTGCGTGCCGTGATTTTGAAATGGTTGATTCGGATACCCTCAAGACGCAGGAACTCGTTGATCCGCTCGATCTATGCGTGCCCTTCTACTTCAAAGGGCTTAAGAATGTGACAGCGCTGAGCGTGTTCACGATAGATAACGATGTCTTCCTAGTGTGCTATGACAGCATGGGCTTCTTCATCGATTCGTATGGACGAACAATCCGGCAGAACATCATCTTTGTGTGGTACGTCCGACCGCTCAAGTTTATGATCTACAAGGAGTACCTTGCATGTGTGAGTGAGCAGGAGGTGGTGGTTTGGGACATCAATACGGCCAATATGGTATTCTATATGAGACAGGAGCACCTTCGATTTGTTACAGGTTCTTCCACTCTGTTGTTGTACGACCAGTACTCGTTGTACAAGCTTACGCTTGAGTAGGTGGGACACGTGTTGTGTTTTGGTAGACCAACCTCAGGAGGCGATGCTGAAATATGATTTTGGAATGATACTAAGATACCGTTGGATGAAATAGCCTTGAAAGCTCTTGAGGTATAGTTGAGGGACATTTGATTGATCAAGAAGGGCAAATCATGGAACGATTTAAACAAATGATTTTGAGAGCATGTGTCACGAATCATTCCCGATTCTTGGTAAATATCATGGTTTGGCCTGAAATGGTAATCGGTTCAGGAGAACAGTCAACTCGCAAGAATCAACCAATGGTAGCGATAAAATATATCAAACCACGATATAATGCCGTATAAATGCCATTACCTTACTTTTGTACCATAATTAGAGCAATAAATCCGTTAATGATTGCTTTCTTTTTTGTGGTAATACACAGCATGAGTATTTAAAACAAACATGGTTGATTTGTATGCTACTTCTTTCTTCACCAATGCCATAGAAGCATTGATGTGTAATAAACGCTCACAGGGCGCTTTTACGCTATTTTTCTTGATTATTCTCCGCACTAATCCGGGGTATAAAAATGTGTGTGTACACCGATGTTGCGCCACACCTTGCCAGAAAATGTTCTTCATACGTTCTACTCATATTTCATCCCGAGTAAAAGAACCTTTTACACTCCATCATTACCATTTCATCATAATTATCCACACCATGTTACCATTACCTCCCATCCACATCATTTGTGCATATCAATGCCGTTCTTTTGGTCATTTTTTTGTCGCTCTCTAACTCCTGTATATAACCATTCCTGGCGTAACGTGCATGTCCTGTTCATGTACGTTTTGCCAGTCAAGTACGTTCTTTTATCTTTTCGTATTACAACACCCCTTTATTTATGCATGTTTAATCGTTTTTATATTTTTGATGCACTCATTTATGCGTTCTCTAATCAATACCATGTAACAGTTTGCGTGCTACCGCACTCAGGCACCATTTTATAGTTTCTAAGAAAGTAATAAATGATAAAAATAAGAGCAAACAAAAAGATACTAAGCTCTCTTCGGAATAGAAATGTACTCTAACTAAATAAACGTACGATAATAGGGATAATATACGTTCAAGAGGATGCCGTTACACTGCCTGAAGAAGTTAGGATAAACATAATGCTATTTCTCGGTATGGAGGACCGATTGAATCACAACATCGTAATAAGCCATTTAATACAAGGGACAATCTCAAAGGTACTGTACGATTTCGCTTTATAAACGGAGGGATCGCAGCGGCATAAAATGTTGATCAGTCAAGCAACACTTGTTCACCAAAGCTATTTTTGCCGCTAATTTACGTTTATTGCATTTGATACGTAGTAACATCTTTTTTATGGTAAGCACCACAGCGTTTGATTGCCAAATCGTACAAAGTATCATGAAGAGCACAAATAAGCATGTTCACCGGTTGAGATAGTTGATGATTGCTTGTGCAAACGGTGAGGAGTACCAAGCAATTATTGTTGTTCACTTTAATGTTATCGGCTTCGCAACATAAATATTTTTAATAAATGAGCTTATGGTGTATTCCTGGTTTAATAATATTATTTGAGTAGCTCTTTATTGAAATCAAGCAAAGATGGAGCTAAGAGCTATTATTAAAGAGTGGATTGTGTGGTTTTTGGGTGGGAAAAGAGGATTGAGAATGGTAGCTGGTCTCTGTATGAGGAAGCGGAGGGAGCGGTTTTTGGGCAGGAAATGAGGATTGGGAATGGTGATGGGTAGCGTGAAACTTAGAAGGAGGCGGAGGACGTGGTGGAGGCGATTTTCGAGCTGAAACAGAGGATTGGGAATGGTGATAATCTGTGGGTACATGAGAGGAAGAACAGGATGGCTGACCGTTTCTATGACAATATGCGGAATAACGGTCAAAGGATGGGGATTGAGGCTCAGTAACAGACAAATTGAATGGAACATGGGAAGAAGATGGTCTATCTGGATCAGTCTTTTGTGACACAGACGGCTCTCTCCTCTGCCCGTAACAACCTGCCAAGTTCGAATCATAGCACCAATTAGTAGTCGAATTGTCATCTCCCTTCAGCTCGTGAGCATTTGATCAAGTCAAACCGTTCCTCCCAGCAAAATTATGTCCATGTTTGATCTTTTGAATGCAATTATTCTGTTGTTGTGTTCTTAGCTGTCCTTCGTTGCTTGTCCGTATATTTGTTTGTGGTAAATTGTTGCATGTTTTTTTCAAATGCATGCTTTATGGCATAGCTCGTTTCATAGAACAGATTCTCAGATATTTTCGCTGATTCGATGGTTTTCCACAACAATTCTTCTATAGGTAATATTTTGACCAGATATTCTCTGGACTGATTTAACATCCTTGCTAATGCTGCATATTCATCCATAAACTTGAAATAATGATCACCAAGATGCGTCGTGTCGCCAGAGAAATCGAGTGAGGAGTCAACAGTTGTAGATAAAATTGAATGACCCTCGTTAATGAAGAGCATACCATTCAATACTTGCAATATTTCATTTTGGGTCCAATACATTGCGTTCGAACCGATGCTTACCCGCATTTGTTCCATACTATATTTCAGCCTTTGAGCTTCTTCATGAAATGCTTCAATCTTCTTCAACACATCTTCTGTGCATCTATGTTTCAGCTGATGCTGCAATTTCTCGCACAATATTCTGAAATTCTCTGCGCTCCAATATTTTTCACTGTCCCGTACCAATTCATTAAACCGTACACAAACTACCACAAATGCCTTGAGAACATAATTTTTTTTCACCAATACACGATGCTGAGTGATTCTATCTGATCCATTTGAACTTCTGAATACCCTCCCACCATTTGGTTGTCTCTGCCCATGGTGACTGCTACCATATGTAGAATGAAGACCAAAAAAGAAAAAAAAGCACGCTAAAAAATGCATACCCATAGGAATTTCTCTTTTATTTATACGTTTTAATACGAATTTCATATCAATTATTTTTTGTAAATTTTTTTAGTGATAGCTCGTATTTGATTTTTAAACGGCCATTCAAACGTATTGACCACACGTTTAGATCGCGATGATTAATCTATAACACAATTATTTATATAAAACATGATTTGATGCCTCGTTTAGATGAGTGTGCACACACTGTCTTGCTTTGTATGAAGCGATTGATAACACCAGTGATAAAAATTTACTAGCGCTTTTCTTCCTATGCTAGTTAAATTAATCAACATGTTCTGCTCCCTCTTCATCTGTAAAACAAGAATAGCTGTTTCAAACACACAATATTTATTCATCGTGCCGTGACATCTATCCAATTTGTATTTATGAAGTAAACCGTATTACATGAGAACAAGAAAATCTGTAAAAACACATTTTCTGATGAAATACGTAGCACGTCCTTTTAAGGAAGTGTATTATTGTATAATTGGTATTTCTGGGTAATTTTATAGCGTAAAAATAGTATAATATTATGAGCACCAGGATAGTTATAGTACACAATTTACTCGATAAATTGTACTTAACACATGTCTTACATACTAATATGGAGCATTTACCTTGCTTGCAAAGCGCTATTTATTATTCTCTTCTCGGCATAGGATGTTCAAAAATTTTACTGCGTACTGCTACATTCGTGTGGAACACCACATCATTGTAATGTTTAAGGATCCCGTTCCCGAGACATCACACGAATCTCATCTACCGGAGCGCCCCTTTGCTGACCTAGAGCGACCACACCAAATGTGCCTCTATGTTAGAATTTAGCGATATAGCTCGTATAACGGAGGAACAAGCATTAATTTGAGAGGACAAGTGATAAACGTATCGTAAGATGTGGCATATGATGCATCTCGCAACAAACCGGTTGACTCGAAAGCGCTAATATCAACTACAATTCGGGTATAAAAACTGTTCAAGAATGATCTTTCTCGCACTCTGTGGACAAATTGTAGTAAAATGCGCTTGAAATGGCGTAGAAAGTTGCACAAGAAACGGTGTGATATGGAGCGATAGCTGCGATTTATTGTTTTAGAAAAGATCGTGTCTCATCGTATACATCAGAACAGAGTATGCCGTACTATTACATTACTTTATCCACGTAACATTTCGTGCGGTACTATCAAACGCTTATTCTGTGCATTACTGCGCACAATTACGTAATTTTTGTCGTATTACCATGGTTTGTACCGCACGAATCATTACCATGCTTTTCACCGTGGTTGCCACCCCCGTACAATATTAATGCACTGTTCCCTACCACAGTCCATGCCCCTAGTACCGATGCACTGTTCCCTACCACAGTCCATGCCCCTAATACCGATGCACTGTTCCCTACCACAGTCCATGCCCCTAGTACCGATGCACTGTTCCCTACCACAGTCCATGCCCCTAATACCGATGCACTGTTCCCTACCACAGCTCCGAATAATAAATCAACCAAGCTCTTTAATAAATCACTGCATTTATCAGTGCTGCTCTATAACAACAACTAAAAAAAACTACAACACTTATTCTGTGCCTTTGCCTTCTCAAACAACTTCTTGGACTTAAGCTCAAGCTTTTTGGCCGAGTCCGTAAGCTCTCCCAGCTTCTCACCTCTAAGCACCACGCTCTCCAACGTCCTCGTGAGTATAACTTTGGTATCCTCCAGCTCTTTTGCTATTTTCTCCGTCGTATCGTGCATTTTATAATCCTTGTACTCTTCCAACAGGCCGTTCATGTCGCCGTCGCCCTCGGCATGCACGTGCGCACATTTGTCAAGCACGGTATCGATAAGATCTAGCGGATAGTAATCCTGTATGCATGCGATGTACACTATGCCAGTGTATACTTTTACGTAGAATTTGTACATTTTGCCGTTCAGTTCCTGTGTGATCTCCTGCAGATCATGAGTTTGTACATTCTGTGCTATTTTGAGGAATATGGTGCGCATGTAGTCCTTGATTTTGATACGCTGGAGAAAGTTGAACTGGCGTAGGTTGAATGCCTCGTTGTGTATTTTTAGAGTGTCGGTTTCCACGGATGAAAGGGATATTAGCATGGGGGGTGCGGTGAATAAAGGACTAATGAAGGGGGTAAAGCATGGGAGGGGTGTGGTGAATAAAGGACAATGAAGGGGGTAAAGCATGGGCTGTGAAAATCGCGTAGTTAATCGTAGTAATTAGTAGAAATAGCTGGGAGAGTGGCAACCGCTTAAAAAGAACTAAAATGATGTAATTGGTGCTATAACCGTTGCGTTACTACCATGGCATCAAAATAGTTTGATGCTCCCATGATCAAAATAGCATCTCTAATAAATTGGACCAATATCCAAAAACAGTTCAATTCATTACGCCCAACAGTGTTTCTCTTTCTCATCGCTACCGTTAATTCCTACGACGGCCTAAGCAATGTACTGGTAGTGTAAACTTTAACAGGTCTTATACCGTACTGGTAATTTACAATATCGTGGTTAGTACGTTAAATAAATTTGATCATCAATAACATGCACAATATTTGCTATCATTACCAAGTACACTAATTGAACGTGGATGAAGTGTAAATTTACTTAACTATGAGCAACCCTTTTTAGGTGCTGTTTTGTTATTTGGCGAACTCCTCATTCACACCGTACTTTTCCACTTTCAAATACGTATTGGTTGCTATATCTGCTTTACAATCATTCCGCTGATCTTTGTGCACAGCCGTGTTTTATACGAAATTCCTGTATTTTTTGTTGTACTGGGTGGTTATTCATGCCAGGCTATGGCAGTATCAGAATTTGTAAGCAAACTTATCTACTTTAATTAATTAATATGCTCACTAAAAAAGCATGTGTTGTAAAATATAGGATTACGTCTAATTGTGCTGGGAAAGAGATAATTAATGGTTTGTGCGCAGCGCGTATTACAGGATGTTAATAAGTGAAATATGATGGAAAGATGAAGAGGAGGTGAAAAAAAGTTTGTTTTAAAGCGGGTGGATAAGAGGAGGTGAGTGGTAAGGGGATGTTGAATGCTGTTAGTGTAGTAATGAGTCCGTAACATGTTTCTTACTAAAATATTCTTGTGCTTACATATTTTGCAAGGATGTTTATCTGTTCACCCTTTTATCAAATTATGCGCATTAACGGGACAAACAAAGCAGTTCAATTATTCAAATGCATAAAATTATGTCTATGCATATTTGTTAGGTTGTGTAATGTAAAACTGCACGCTTATGCAGTATGTAATATATTATTCACTGGTTAGTGGCAAATAAATGGGTGTAATATAACTACACATCTTGAATCGATATTTTTTATCACCTTATTCTGCATAATGATAGAACGCTTTGATACTTTAAATTGGATCAAAAAGGAATAAATAAGCATAAATTGATAGTATAGGGGTATAATATAAAATGATGAATGAAAGCGTATTATATTGCATAGGTAATGTGAATTAAGTACTAGTTAGGATGCGTTGCATAAATAGATAAGATACTCTATTTATGCACTAAACTATATAATAGTATCGATTTTTTATGCAAAGGACGAACATAACAAGCTTTCTCATATTTCTGTTGATTGTAACTGTTTGATACGCTCCGAACAGGTCAATCATCATGAACAATCTTGTAGATTGGTACTGTGATCACCACAACAAGTAGTAGCCCGTGATAACCGCAATAAGCAGTAACTCGCGATTAGTATCATGAACACCAACTCGTGATCACCACCATTGATCACAGTTCCAGATCAACCATTCCATACCGTAAAAAGACCCTTCCCACTTTTAAAACTTTGTTTGCATGATAAAATAATGCGACATATAAAAAAAGGTGTAAAATCATCCCCACCAAAAAACAAAAAAATGACATTAACCAATCCAAACATATACACTTTACGAAGACGCACGCAATCAATGCTAGCTGACCAGTACACCAAAATACCGCAACCAAAAGCGTCAGAAAATGTATTAAGTGCATTATCACGTGCGCATAACGTACCAGAACGCATTTTGCAGGAGTACTTTTTGAACCAGTTTTTAGAGTGCGAGCGCAAGATAGTGAAGAGAAAGGTACGTATTAATATGAGAGCAGTGAGCGCATACCGTGCATATAGAAGTGCAAAGATATCAAGTTTGAAGAAGATGGCAAGTGTTTGTGCGAGAGAGCTGAGAAGAGCACTGATGAGGACTGGAAAGACCAATCCGTGTTTGAAGGGAAGAAGATCAGGCAAAGGATTTAACACATTGACACGCGGTAAGAAGATGAAGAAGAGGGGAGAAAGGGAAAAGAAGAAAGAAGATAGAAGGGAAGAAGAGAGGGAGCAAAGGAAATTGAATTATTTGATAAATCAGACGGAGCTTTATGCCCACTTTGTGCTTAGGGGCGAGCATGAAAGGTTGAGGAGGGCCAAGGTTGAATGTACGGATGATGAGGGAATGATGAAAGAGGTGGGTGAACAGCTAGAGAAGTTTAAACAGGAAGATAAGAGCACAAGAGCAAACGATGATGGCATAACAAACATAAAAAACACGACTAGAACACAGAGTGTGCCTACGTTAAGGCACTTTAAAGCAAATTTGAAGGAGTACCAGGCAAAAGGAGTGTGTTGGCTTATAAATTTATACAATCAGGGGATAAATGGCATACTTGCAGATGACATGGGACTGGGTAAAACCGTGCAAACGCTCGCATTCCTTACGTACCTTGCAGAGCACCATAACAAACGGCTGTTCTTAATTGTAACGCCGGCAAGCACACTGCACAACTGGGAAACTGAGATAAAGCGATTCAACCCTGACTTCAAGGTAAACCTTTACATCGGCTCTGACCGCAACGTATCGGTAAGACGCATTCCACACCCAGTAATTGTACTTACGTCGTATCAATTAATTTCAGACAGGAAGTTAAAGCGTATTAAGTATGATTACTTGGTGTGTGATGAGGCACAAGCCATAAAGAGCAACAAGAGCAGAAGATGGAAGAACATAAACGAGTTACGATGCAACAACAGATTGCTGCTCACCGGTACACCCATTCAAAACTCGATGCAAGAGCTGTGGTCGTTGTTGCACTTTATCATGCCCGGTTTGTTTGATAGTCATACGCTGTTCCTTTCCTGGTTCTCGAATGAGAAAAGCGTGAAGAAAGAGGGCTTGGAACGGTTGCACAGCATATTAAAGCCGTTCATGTTACGACGAGAAAAAAAGGATGTTAAGAACGAGTTGGGCACTAAAACGGAGAAAGACGTGATATGCACAATGACACCTTTACAGCACGCACTGTACGAACGTGTCAATAAGGAAAATGAGAGTGAGAATATGATGATGCAGCTTAGAAAGATAGTAAATCATCCCGAGCTGTTTATGCATAGAGAGAACGGAACTGGGTTGTACTGTGCCAGGGATCAGCAGGTGCTACATTTGAATAGGAGAAGCAAAAGCATGTATAGAAGATGTTTGGGAGAGATGTTGGACGAGATACGAACCGTTAATGCTATGTATAGAGATATTAGAGGTATGCATAGCAAAGATGACACATATCCTAACACTAATCATAGTGCTAATGTTAATACTTGTCCTGATACCAATAATAGTACTAGTGTTGATACGTACCCTAATATCGATACAATCACTCAAAGTAAGAATCGCAGCGTGCATTCACATCCCGTGGGTATGAATTATCAATTTGTGGGGTGCAAGAAGAATGGAGTAGTGACAGGTAGTGCTTACGATAGTTATGTTGAGAATATGAGTGTTAAAAGTACGGGTGTGGGAGGTAATAATGGAGATACGGTACATAATAGTACGAATTATCGTACTATTGCGGATAGCGATACAAATATACCTTGCCACGCTGATGTGAACAACAGTACAAATTCTATTCCTACTAGCACTCCAAATACGGTTTTTACAACTAATACACATATTACCGGTAGTATAGCGGTTAAAAGAAAGATAAGACAAGAAAATAATAGAGGCATACTAAAGCGGGCACATATCCCCGATTATAGCGATAGCTGTGCATATAATATAAGAGAATCTAATTCAACATATATGACACGAGAGTACACGAGGAGTGATGTGCGTTTGAACTTTTTAGAAGAATTTAAGACGCGTTCATCTTTACATGACAATAGGAGTATGATAGAGAGAATTAATGGTACCAGTAATAAGAGGTTTAAATGTAACAAAAAAAATGATGAGTTTTACTATATAATGGGTGCTACAGGTGAGATTGTAGATGAGCACCGGTATTATGAGAAGGAATGTAGTAGAGATAGGGAAAAAGGTACAAGTTGTAGTGCGGGTAAGAGTACAGGAAGAGCTGTAGATAGAGGTATTGGTAGGAATGATGTTAAGAGTAAGGATATTGGTGAAAAAAAAGATGCTAAAGATACAAATGAAGAAGATGATGGTAAGAGAATACGAATACCTACATGTTCGTTAATGGATGATAGTAGGTACTATGGTAATAAAAATGGCATGGATAAAGATGGAGAGAAAGGAAGTTCGAGCAATGTGAAAGATGAAAATGAAAATCTGAGCACTATCGCTACAATGAATGAGAAGTGTAAGCGTGTTAAGACGATTAACGACCAGGAAACAATCAATACGATGGATGATGGGGATGGATGTAGACAGATCATAAATATAAGACGAAGTGCTGGTAGGGGGAGATATGCAAATGATGGTGACATCATGAGTACGGTCTTTGAGGACATATACTATGAAAAGTATATGTTCCTTAAACAGAATATATTGGCGTTCACTCAGCAATTGTATTTTAAAGGGATAATCGGTAATTTAGTAGAAAAAGCGTTTTGCAACGTGTATCACAACAATTACGTTGCAATACCGGAAATAGATTTGGTAAAGGAGTCTGGCAAACTAGTGGTACTGGATTCAATGCTGAAAAAGATGGAGGGCAGGAGAGTACTGATTTATTTCCAAATGACCAAAATGATTGATTTGTTTGAGCAGTATGTAAAAATGAACAATTTTAGTTATGTACGTTTGGATGGAGGTGTAAAGGTAAGCGAAAGAAAGAAAATTGTTAATACGTTTCAAACAGAAGATATTTTCTTGTTCCTACTATCAACACGTGCTGGAGGACTCGGTATAAACCTTACAAAGGCTAACACTGTTATATTTTATGATTCAGATTGGAACCCTACGGTAGATCAGCAGGCCATGGATAGGGCGTATAGATTAGGAAATACAGAGGATGTGGTTGTTTATAGATTGGTCACTGCTAATAGTATTGAAGAGAAAATGCGTATTACAGCAGGGATGAAGGAGGAGATACATAGGTTAGTGATTGATGGCGGAGAGTTTACGCTTTGAGCAGAGTGTTTGATGAGAGGGTTTATGATGGATGGGAAGTAAATAAGGAGGTAATTATGGATTGAAGTAGTGTTGAATAAAGCAGTTTATCATGCTCAATTAAGACATTGAATAAGAACATGGCATTACGCTTTGGTTATTGTACGAATAAAAATGCGTATTGCGCTTTGATTGTGTGTTAATTGTTATTTATTAGTTTACTAGCTGCATTGCTTGTTTTTTAAAAACGGGTGCATGAATGGATAGTATACCAAAATAGCGCTTTTGAATACAACTGCAACATTAGGTCATTCCTTTCTACCAACTGTTGTATAGTTACAAATCAATAAATCACTTTCATTCTAATGGCTCATTGTATACAACATTTCTTGTGTATACTTTACCATTCTCATGCTTTCCTTGGTCTCCATTGTCAGCAACATACACCCTTAGACCGTTTGCATAGCGCACTCTCGACAAAGCTACGTACAACTGACCATGTACAAAGACAGAGCTGTGCAGATAAACACCTACCTTGTCAAATGACTGACCCTGTG